CTCTTGCCGCGTGAGCAACAGGCCCCCCTGAGGTTGAGGGTCAGGGATGGTCAGTGGATGTTTTCTGGATTCTGATGATTTTTTATGGATGACAAATGGAGTTTGAATGGATTTCCAGGGTTTTTCTCCCGGAGAATGCTCAGAATCGTATTTTTTCTGTCTGGAAAATGATGATACACCATGGGATTTTAAGTGCTCATTCCTGAGACAACCCCATATTAGTGTGTTTCAAAGTTGTGGTAGGAATCATATAAGATGATTATGACTTATGACCATGTACATACATACATACATACATACATGCATACATACATACATGCATACATGCACTATACATACATGCATACATGCATACATGCATACATGCATACATGCATACATGCATACATGCATACATGCATACATGTACATACATGTACATACATGTACATACATGTACATACATGTACATACATGTACATACAATATGTATATATATATATATATATATATGTATGTATATATGTATGTATATGGATACATGCATACATCATACAGATAATACTAATTTCCATGTTTGCCCGCGAGCGGAAAACAATCCATGAATTCACTGAATCAGTGTCTTCCAACAAATATTTGAGCATTGGAGAAGTTATAATTGGGTTTGCCACGTTGGCATTTGAAAGAGTTCTGACTACTAGTATCAAACTTGGGTTAGGAAGGACTTCAGTCTGCTGCTCGTATATAACTCGAAACTTGTTCATCACTGTAGATCAACGACAAGCAAACCATCCCTTTGATGGTCATAGAATCGAAATAGAAACGATCATCCCTCGTGGCAGGGTCTTAGCAAGGTTGGCGATGGACAATTTAAGCATGAGCAACAAATGTCATCAAAGGGTTGGCAGCAATAGAGTCGATTCGGTCCTTTGTTTCTAAACAGTTTTAGAATTGTTCCAGTCATCAAGGAGCGCGCGTTGTTCGTCAGTGATTGGATTCTGGAAGCTCACATGTTCAAACATGCTTAAACACAAAGTTCAAACTGTTTAACCTTGTGCCAGCCATCAGGAAGGATTTTGCATTGGAAATAGGGAGTGCAATGCCAATACATGTTTGAAGCCGTGTTTTCGGCAGGTTGATGTCATGGTTTGTTTAAACACTTTTGGTTTAAGCAATGTTTAATCTTCGTTTAATAGGTCTAGTTTCAACAGGAGCCTGGCCCATCCCTGCTTCAGTTGGGGATGTAGGTCAAGATTTCGCTGGTGACGGCGGCTGTGGCACTCTGAGCATCTCTGAGCACTGGTTAAACCGATGGTGATGGTTCTGGCCATGTCCACAGGTGTCACAGGATGGTGAAAAATCACGTTATAAGTTGCTTTACAATGCTTTACATATTAAAGTATCACACACTATTGTCAGTACAGTTATGTCCACCAACAACGATGGTTTTCCCCATCGGAGACAGAATCCATCGGCACTCAAGGCGCCCAACATCAACTTCGCCAAGGAGGTTTATGACCTGCGGTTGATGAGGAATACGGTGGAAGCCATTTTCATCGCTCCAAAGCTCCAAAGGCCCCGGGGGGATTCTTGTTCAGTCCATGTTATGGCCATTTTAAACATAGGGAAACACTAATATGATTAACCAGAGGACTGGGAAAAATCATATTTTCAGATGTTGTTTTGCAAGGATATGAAGGATGGATGATGTTTCATGGATCCAGTGGTGAATGTTGGCCTTGAAGCTAAAGTTGTTGTAGCTATTTTTTTTCGAGGGATTTGAATCAGGCTCTGCCACTGCCTGTATGTATACTTTTTTTTGTTTCTTGGGTATTTGAGGTCCATGTGATGCCAGAACTCAGTGAGTTTAGCATCGGAAATTGCTGCAGAGCCTGGGTGAACAGATGTCCCAAATTTCCAACTGGTCGATGGAAGTGAGGGGTACACCCCCAAAGCGAGCGCTTCAGTTGTAGCCAGTATGCCTCCAATGAACGAAGCCGTGGAAATCCATGATTGTTTTTTTAGGAAATGAGCTACTTATATCATTCATGGTGGATTTCCAAATGATCTACCCATCATTCATTGAAATTCATGATGGATTTTCCAGCGCCAGGAAAGACATGAATACCTTGATCCTGGGGGCCTGGGGCTGTCGGCATACCAAGGGTCGATTTTTTTTTCGGAGACAGACTCGACAGACATCAGATATATGATATGGACAGATGGACTGGGTTTAGAACATGAATGAACATGACTATATAATAGTATTATAAAAGCAACCATCCTGTCATATCGTGTTCTTTTTTTTGTGTGCCTGTTTGACCCTGTTATTCCAAAAAACAGTCTCGGAATTTTCGCAAAAATCCTAGTCGTAACATCGTATATTATTGTATAACACATAGATGATGTATATAGATTTGGCACGTCTGACATGTGACATCGTGTTATCTCTTAATCCCACCGTCTCTTCCCAAGGCGGAGCTTTTGGGGGCGATCCTCGCGATATCAGCGAGCTCTTTGCCTCCGTGATTCACGACATGGGGTGAGCCTCGGGGAGGGCGGTTATGGGCGGTTAGAGATGTCTTCGTGGAACGGTTCGGAAAAACGTTTGGAAGTTGGAAGTTGTTGGAAACTTGGATGTATAGATTTACTAAAAATAAAAACTTGGATGAGATGGACGTACGGTTGATAATTTTAATTGTGAATACCTCCAAACATGTGCAAAGAACAGTGCAGCATATGATATGCGGGACATGATTGGAACCAGTGGTGCCACACCCAGAGTTCGCGCCGTCCTTTGCTGCAGGCAGTTGTACGAAGAAGTGCACTTTGCCATCCCAGGGTCAGGGCCATAATGGCAGTTGTCAAACGTGGCTGTTTATCAAAACACTGGGGTCCCCGCGGGGTTCCCGTGTGACACCAAAGCGGTTGGTAAATGCTGGCAGATGGATCTTTATCCCCAAAATGTGTCAAACAATGGTACCCTCTGGTAATTTAACATAGCTATTGAAAATGGCCATAGAAATAGTGGTTTTTCCCATTCAAAATGGTGATTTTCCATAGTTATGTTAGTTTACCAGAGGGCATCATACTTATGGACTGACTCTTCCCCATGCTTGGTTGTTCCAGACGCAACCTGTGCAGATGCAAAGAAATGTAGCTGAGATCAGGCTGTCAGGGTGTAGTTTCAATCCGTTGGCCCCCCAAAAGAAAGAAGTACCCTGGAGCAAATTAACATAGATGTGGAATATCACCATTTTAATAGATTTAGTAGGTAATTCATCCATAAATGGTTCATGTTCCACATCTATGTTACTTTACCCTAGGGATTTTGTTTAAATATATTGTACTGAAGTATTATTCGGTTTCACATGTTTTCTTATTGTTTTACATGGTTCAATGCCAAGAATTGCCCAATGCCAACATTGTTTTCCCGTCCCCAAGTCGCAGAAATTTGATGGCCAGGGGCAGATCTGGACCTAATGGCAAGGTCTTTTGGGAGACCTTGAGCAAACACTTCGACATTCAGGTGGGGCATTGTCACATTGTCATGCATTGTCCATTTTGTGGGAGATAGTAGGATATTGTGTGATGGGATATGTGATAGAATATGTTGGAATTATCCAGCAATATGATTCTTGGGTGTGTATGAAAGTTGGTCCCCCCCCACACTGCAATTTCGTGGATTCGGGGGTACGTCATTTACAGCCAAGCCCGAATGATGCAACAGATGTCTTTGCTAGAAGACCAGAAATCGGTCTGAAGGGATCTGAAGGGTATGTCTATTGTCTGAGATGCCCACATGTTTTGTCCCAACATGTATGTGCATAAATCATCATAAATCATCATATGCCGACAAACAAGTAAATAAGTTTAATCAAGCATGGTTTTTAATAAATTAGGTGGAATCCTATTAGAATATATGAATATATATATATATATGATATATGTACGGTATACTGTACGTATGTCTATTCATATCCCCAGAAAGAGGAGGAACGTTTGGAAACAGACGCGAATTCCATTTCTGCCAGGAAATTGCCTGAGGAGCCGTGCGCTTTCTCCAAGGGCCTGCGCGACAACGAAAATCCGCAGGGCCAAAAGCCGAAGGGGCGAAGGGGCGCAGGTCAAGCAGTGTCTTCCAAGCCTCTAAGATCAATAGAGAGATATTGTTACTGATATCAGATCACATATATACATATAGTATCATCATGTATCATCTAACATTATGTTATATATATAATGTGTGGTTTTGTGTATGTATGCAATGACACAGTTTGTGGGGTTTGTAGGTTTGTATATATTTGTATTTGTGTTGCATTGTAACAATGTTATATATATATATATAATTACGTCATGGTATGTATGTATATATATATACCCATAGGATCCATGTATGCTATATATGGTAACATTTACCATCAATATACCCCCAATGTTAGCATATATACCATACATGGATCCTATGGGATATATATATACATAATTAATCAGGCATTGAGAGGTACATCCTATGGATGATCTACTGACTGACGGGATTGGATGGAAAAATCCCGCCAGCCGACAGCCTCGTTGATCCCAAGATTCCCATTTTTGCCATTCCTCAGCCGTTCCTTCACAACCTGTTTACGATGGGGGGTGCAGTTGGGGGCCTTAATTGTTATACCCTCTGGTTATTTAACATAGCCATGGTATATAGTATAGATGGCCCATTTATAGATGGTTTACCTGGGTTTACCTATTAAAAATGGTGATTTTCCATGGCTATGTTAAATAACCAAATGGTATACCCATGCTAAACAACCTCCATAAGTCGAGATATCCTTCTACCAGCGGAGCAAGATAGACTTGTGCTGTGCTGACATTCTGGATCAAATTCTGAACCAATAGGTCAACTGTGCCAACAGAAAATGTGGATACAAGCACACTTTCACTTTCACAGCGCTCAAAGGTCTCTACGTCCTTGCGGTAGCAGCAGGTCTCCACTTTTCTGTGGATACAAAAATAAGAAACATGGGAATATCTAGCAGCTGATGCAGCACTAGTGGTGCTGATTTTTGTTCGCTCATGTGGCAAGATGGTGCAAAGGCACCCTTCCGCGACCAAATGGAGGGGTTGAGAGGTTATAAGTGGGCTAGAAAATGTGAGGGCCGGGTGTGTCTGAAAATGGTGTATACACCCAAGATTGTAAGTTTCATTGGGAAAATAGAAGGGTATACTTTTTTCACACAAACCCATGTTATTATGCGAATTGTCCTGCGCTCCCAGTGAAAATTAAGTGCAATTTGCCAGATGTGGAACATGAGATGCCATGCCCTCAAGGATTAGCATCACTGATGGGTGATGTAACTTTTTTTTTGTTTGAAATTCTGTGTGTGTGTGTTGATGTGTTTTCCTGGTTTGAATTGATATTGTTCTATGTTACCGCCAGTTGCAAAGTGTTTATCGTGTAAACACATGCAAATGGTTGTCGCATCTCCACCTTCTTGGTTGCTTAATCTTGTGTGTCATTTGTTTCTCTTCAAACAATGTGGGTATGGATCAATACCTATGAAAATACCATTTTTAGTGGGTTATTCACATCCATTTTAACCCAGCTATGACTTGGGGTTCACCAGGGGTACTATTGGGTTTGACACATCCCCATGTCAAACATGATGCTGATTGGTGGTTTGGAACATTTTTTATTTTCCATAATATATGGGATAATCCTTCCCATTGACTTTCATATTTTTCAGAGGGGTTGAAACCACCAACCAGGATGGTTCTTCTGGTCAAGAAGCCAGCTATCCACTTGTTGCTGCTTGAACCTCCCCATGCTGAACTGTCCAGGTCTCCACCACCTCCCATGGGACTTCCAACAGGAGAGGGTGGAAAATGACACTTTTTGGGGGCAGGGAAATCCCCCACGAAATGGAGGTTTTAATATGTTTTAATGGGAACATGATCTATGAATTAACATGAATATTAACATCATAGTATATCATGCACTCACAAACGCTTTGGAGTGATAGAACAATTACTGTATACCATCCAGGACCATCCATGCCACAAGAATCCTGCCACTCAGTGGATGATTTTAACATATTTTGACCATCCCGCGGCCCATGCCCTATTCTAGACCCTGTCAGACACAGATATATCATGATATATCATGATATATCAATTTTACTATTGAAACCTACTGAATCGTGGTAATATTAATAATATTATATAATTCTCCACTGCCATGTTTGTTTGTTGAGAATGTCAAACGGATCCCCACCATGAACTGGTTCTTACCTAAAGAATTGACTTGTTGTTTAGGTAATTTGTGGTGACCAACTTAAGTTGCTGGACAATGCTGGACATCAGACCACCTGGTTACACGGAGATTGCAGCATTCCAACCAGGTCGTTGGTGTTGGATGTTTCAGTTGAATAGTTCCTTCCCGGAATGGGAAGATGATCCCAGTTAACCTCATCATGGATCATCTCTCATTTCAAACACTTTATGAAACTTAAGTCTCATCCAGGAAGTTTTCTGAGTGGCGGAAAAAAAAAATATGGTTTCAGCTCTTCTTTTTCAGCTGAGCAGTTTTCAAAGCCCCTGTTGATTGATGATTATACGGGATTATCTGGTTGGTGGTTTCAAACATGTTTTATTTTCCATTTCATACATGGGATAATCCTTGATAATCCTTCCCATTGACGAACTCCATCATTTTTCAAGATGGTAAAAATTCATTAAAAACCACCAACCCGTTATTTTCTACTTTTCTATATAGGGTGTCACGTCACAATCCATGGGGAAATCCTACGGAAATCCTGAAGGACAGGCCACGGTCACGACGTTCGTGTGTGATCCTCCGCCACCATCGACTCTGTGAGGGGCTTAGGAACGAGCACCTTTGGGAACAAAGACTGGTGTTGCTTCATGCCTAAACCTTGTATGAGATGATATTAACATAACATAATATATATATATGATTATATATGTATTTTTTTTAATAATTCAATGATGTCATGAATATAATTATACAATCGATTCATATGTAACTATATCCAAGGAAGATAAGTGTCTATACATCGAATTGAAGGATGAGCAAGAGATTGCAGAGCTGCTAAGAAGGGCCCTCGTTCGCTTGTGCAGGCCTGGTGTGAAGAGCAACAAAGTGCTCGAGAGCCCAGCAAGTCATGGGGGGCACCCCCAGTTATCATCCATTTCAATATGGGTTTTCCATTATAAACATAATAAACCAACCCAATTGGGGGACCACCTGGGGTGCTTGTTAAGTAGATGATTGAGCCAACCAACTGCTGTGACACTCAGACTTGCTGCCACACCACCGCCACCAACCGACTTTCCGCACGCCTGGCCTCGTTGAGACGGGTGAAGATGGGGCGAGTTCGACTACCCGAACTGGGTAATGATTTAATGGGCCCCGTTTTTTTCAATTCCAAAATGGTCTGGTTTGTGGTTTGACATGGTTTGACCATTTGTAAAAAATGGCAATAGAATGCAATAGAATGCAATACAATAGACAATATTGAGGTTGGTGGCTTGATTGGTGTTGTTCTTTTTAAACAACATTAAACAACCATATTCTATACACGAGCATATGTGGGATGATGATCCCCAATAACGAACGTACAGTATATTTTTCAGGGGTTGAAGCCATCAACCAGCATTGCTACAGGTACTGATACAGGTGTTTCTCAAGAGTTGTATCCAATTGCGTGTTCCTAACAATGCGGGATCCCAGAAACATCCTCAAGCCAACTTGTATTGAAATTCCAATTCATCGGCAAATAAACTAATAAATAAGCAATGATTGTTGATAGCTTTTGGTCTGAAAGAGGTACCTTCCAGAGTGTTTCGTCATCATTTTCCCAATTGAAATGATGAGAAAGTCCTGACACCAGGTCCGTGCAGGGTGAGTTGCCATGCTTGCTGACGGCTCCGCCGCCCCCTGTGGCCAACTCAGATGTCCAAGACGTTGTTGTTGGATTGGTATGGGGGAAAACATGGAACTGGGAAGATCTTATACTGGTTGGTGGTTTGGAACATGTTTTATTCTTCCATAATATATGGGATAATCCTTCCCATTGACTAATATTTTTCAGAAAGGTTAAAACCACCAACCAGTTTTATGTTTATATGTTTGTTGGGTTGGGATTATATTCTAAAACAAAAATAGAAAAAAGTAACGATTAAAATCCTAGGTTTGCAGTTGGAACTGGATCCAGCATGGATTCAGGAGATCTGAAAGTGCTGATTTATATATTTATATGACCAACAAAACTGGGGGCAATTATAGAATATTATAAATAAACAGTGGTGATACAATGGGAATATACTAGGACATGTAAAACCCACAAATTTGGGTTTGTCCCAGACTGGTAATCTATGCGAATCCGAATTGGGAAAAGATGATATACGATGATAAACCCTTGGACGAAGATTCGCTCTTTTTGAACTTTGAGAGTTTCTTGCGCTCTTCACCGCCTAATTGCATGTATCAAACTCCTGATCTAATTGCTTTATTTGGCTCAGCTGAATAAAAGACTTGCTTTGATGTTATATAATGAATGCAGAAAGATGCAGAAGAAACATTGGTAAAATCCTAAGCCTCAGTCGACGGGCCATTTTTTCCTATTTAGATGATTGAGAATTCATGAGAATTCAATAATTTATCTTGTCATGTGGCTGCCAGAGATACTACAACCACAGATCTTGCAGAACTGGCAACCAGGTGTCCTTTGAGCCGTCAAAACAGAACATCTTTTAACGCATAAATGGCATAGATTAAGATAGATTTTAGCTGATTTTAGCATGCCACAGTTTCCTCCCCCAAACAGAGTCCGATCAATCCCAATGAGCTTGGCCATGCTTGGCCGCCAAGTGGCAATGCCCCGTTGATGCCCTTCTGGTTGGCATGCTTACTGGCCTTGCTGGCGGGTTCATCGGTGACGCTTCAGGTTGGTGCCGTCGGAAGCTCAGGGTGAATGGTATAGCAACTCCCAAAACAGGTGTCAAAGGTAATCTGCCGATATCCACCACTAGTTTTGTAGAATTTGTCTTGCTTTGCATCTTTTTGGGATTTGCTTTAGTTCTCACTATTGAAAACAATGTAATTATGTTGATATTTGTGATGCAGCTTAAGGACTGATTTGGTGGCAGAGCATCTCAGATTGGTCATGTATTGACGAGCACTTGGGCCCAAAATGACCTTATTTCAGGTTTGTGAAATACTATAATTTATCCAGATATCTATGTATTTATATAAGTTATACACTGACAGGAAGATTGTCTCAGGTTGGAGGCATCCACCTGTTGGTTATGTCGATTCGACTAACGCCTAGGGTATCGTGCTGAACGATACGCCAGCCCCGAAGTTGGCACACGCAGCCTACGTCTCTGTGGGGAACATGGTCGCTGGTGGTCTGTGGTTGCTGATTCTGTCCATCCTTCAAGGCCGGAAACTGTGGCCACCAATTGTAGCTGTAGTTGAAATAGGGTAAACTCCGGGTAAACTCCAGGTAAGCTACATTTTCATACATTTTCAATGTGTTTCAATGGGATACATACTCTAGACACTCTAGACACTCTAGACACTCTAGACACTCTAGACACTCTAGACGTGAATGGGTTACATGGGTCATGATGGGTTGGATTCCAAGAGTTAAACGCCAGCTCCGCTACAACTGCTGGGGGTTTGCCATGGCCAGTGGCGATGCATGTTTGAATGTCGTGAGTTTGCCATGGCCAGTCAGAGGGGTCGCCATTTGTTTATAAGAAAATAGTGATAGATTTGGGTGAGACCGTATTGTTTCATGGGAAAACATGGATTGAACCCCTGCTGTTCACTGGAAAAATCTGGAAAATATGCATCGAAACACATGTTTTCATGGGGACATATGGGTCAAACCGCCATTTTTCACCGGGAAATCATCTATGAGAACAATCTATAAACCATCTATAAATGGGGCCTAAATGGGGCATGGAATTTATATTGACTCATCTGTGGACCAATCCATGGATTGATGTTCTGCAGTCAAGTTTCTCTCAGGGTCCGGTCCACCATCCACAGTCAGCAATATAGCAGTGTGTCAAAACCTTGTACCCCTGGTGAACATCAAAATAGCTGGTAAATGGATGTTCATCCCCCTAAAAATGGTATTAATAGGTATTGATCCATACCCATATAAATGTTCAATTTGGGCCTTTCATCCTGGAAAAACTGTGCTTAACAGCAAGTCGCGAGTCAGGGAATTCAGGGCGAGGAATCGCCGTCCACAGCTGCCCAGGGGGACCAGCACCGGCGAAACCCAAATACCTTTGGTCCGCTTTCGGTGGGCTGGTGGTGCTGCCAGCCTTTGCACCCTGGCTGAGTGGGTTCATGGCGGAAGGATAGGTGTTTAAATATGTTGTTTGCCATGTTCATGGGCGCACATCAACCTAAGATAAGCTAACATTTTTGCTTGTGCTGTTAGTACCTACTGAGTAAGATCAGCCATGAGATATGTGGTGAATGATGGTTAATGCGGCATAACCTAAATGAAGCATTCTGCGATATTTTAGGAAGGGTAAAGAGAGGGTTACATGATGCAAGTTCGCTTGGCATGTTGGGCAATCTGTATTTAGACTCATTTGGATACATCACCAATGATTGAGTTGATAGGGATAGGGTGAAAGTACTATACCCTTCATGGAGTGTCAGGGCACATTAATTAAGATGAATTCAAAAAAGCTCAGGGGAGGTTGGTTCATGAGGCAGGTGATCGTAGAGGAGCCGTTGCTCCAGTTGATAGCAGATGCCTAAGACATGAGCAGCTTAAGAGAAGAACACAGTTGGCTGATGAGTGTGTAGGTGTTATCCTATATGATTATGGATATTATATATATATGATTTTATATTATATTACATTATATTATATTCTATTATCCTATATTATATTCTATCATATTTTATTATATTATATTGTATTTTATGTATTATATAATACATATTATATATATACATATTATATATATACATATTATATATATACATATTATATATACATATTATATATACATATTATATATACATATTATATATACATATTATATATACATATTATATATACATATTATATATATACATATTATATTATAATATATTATGTTTTATTATATTATGGTATATTATATTATCTTATATTGTATTATAGTATATTATATTATATTATATCATATTATAACTCATTATATTATTACTTATTATATAAAATATATAATAATGTTCCACTATGGGAAACGATTTTCGACTAGGTGTTGATACTTCTTAGCTAGGATTGACATGCCCTAAATCTGCTAGAGTCTATGTATACTATCAAACAATTAAGCATATGAAAACAATGTGAAAAATATCACCTGAACTGAACATTTAACTTTTGTGATTTGAAAACAAGAAATGCAAATCAGAAAATGTAATTGTTCGTCTGAGCTGAAGAATATATGTTTTTCAAAATAAAATTATATTCTAAAAATGTAACTTCTTCATGATGTGAGCAAAAAGCAACCCAAAAAATGTAATTTGAAAAAACACAAAAAATACCGTATACCGAAAAAAAAGAAATTACATTTTACATGTTTTTGCATTTTCAAAAATTGCGATTTGCCAGGCGCATTTTTGTCACATGTTTTTACATTTTCAAAAAATGCGATTTCCGAGTCACTTTTGTTAACATGTGTGTTTTGAAGTGATGTCCGAGTCGCATGTTTTTCATTTTGTTTTTTTACATTTTGGAAGTTCGAACAGTTACATTTGTTTTCTCCCTGTTTTTTCATAAAATGTAAATTAAAAAAGTTACGTTTTTTTTCCCCGGCTTTCCGTTGAAAAAAATGCAAAATCTAAAAGTTGCATTTTTTCAGTGTTGTCCTATTTTTATTTTTAATTATTTGATAGGGTATAGACCGTGGCTATTTGGGGTTTGTCAAAGCTAAGAATCCCTACCATGGTTGGTTGGATCTAGGTGTGCACTCCGGCTGCGGCGCTATTGGGCACACAATTGACCCTGATGCTGCTTCAGACGGGGATGATGCTTGGTGTTGGAATCTTTCATGGGGGATGTCTCAAGACATGAGGGATTGACCCATCCAAACCATGGGATTTACCACCCTGATTTTTAAATAATGAATGGGCATGAACGGAAGGGGAAACATTAGCTTCTTGACTCTGGGATTTTTGGGGGGTCCGACATGGTCCGACCCAATTTGAAGCAGCCACTGAAAAATGGTATCATCTACGAAAACGAGCATTCATTCTGCTTGCAGCATTGTCGTCTCGGGCTGGGTACTGAGGTACCACCGATAGTGTTTTTTGCTTCATGTTTGTTTCAAAGTTTCGTCGGCAAGAGTTCACATCTTTCTCAACTTCCCTACGACGTAAATGATTCACCGTATGCAGGCCCTGTTTCTTCAGGATGGAACAGAACGCGCAATGGTGCGTTCTGGGATCTTGAATTGAATGGGAAGTGGATGCTTGAAACTGTAAGCTTTCAAAAGATGGGTTGCAGATAAAGCTTCTTGAAAGTAAGGTCTCAGGAAGATTTTCTCATCACTTGTTGCACCATGTTGCACCAGTCGCCAGGATGACTTCAGCCTTTCTCTTTGACTGGTCTGGAAATCGGCTGCAGATCACCAGATATGTGTCCCTGGGTTTTTTCATGTTGCTGGGTGCCGTCTGCATGCAGCTTCTGATTTCCATTCCAGACTTGCAACTCGGCTGAAAAAAGGGGATGGGCTTCCAATGTATCGATAGTTTGGCTGAGACAATGGATGAAAACAGGGTGATTCACCAGTGGATTTTGTGGTATCCTGGTCAGGTTCCCTCGAAATATTGGTGCTCTTTGTGGAAGTTGTGTGGCCGGACTGAGAACAACAATCTAGTACTGCAATTGCACTGCGTTTTTGGACAGACACTGTCGTTTGGATGCTTAGTCAGATCTTTCAGATCTTTCAGACACCTCAATTCGGTTTTTAGTTGTGAGTACATGAAGATTCTGTGTTTGTTTCTTGTTGACATTGATTCTTGGCGATTATCCCCTGGCGGTTGGCTCGTGTGATGGTTACTTTGGTGCCCCAACAAGAGTAACCCTGTTTTCAGGTTGCAAAGAACCAGGACTTTGCAAATAGAACCAGGCTCCCTGTGGGGATCATCCAAGTATATAGCATTTGTTTGATAAATATTATCATACACTGTAATATAATGTAATGTATATGTATATATATACATACACATATACACATATGTACATATATACATATATACATATAATCATATATATATATACATACATATAATACACGTATGAGTGCGGTATGGATCAAACTTATCAATGTAACTGTTTAACCCCTTCCCCTCAATATGAAACGCACATCCTTTAATTTACACTGGGTGAATGGATGTTGAAGGTGCACTATTGGTGGTCTTTATAGAATATGATTGGCATAAATATTGGCTATATATTGGCCATATATCGGCATTTGAGTATGGTTAAACCACGTTAAAACATATTTGATGGTTTACCCGCCGATGATTGGTTCATTCTTATTATGCATTAATCACTTTATGTTCTCGTCGTATTCCCATCATATCGCATTACATATCCCATTATGTGATGTGTGTGTGTACATTGCATATGTCATACAATTATAAAAGCATATTATTATATCCCATGATATGTTCATAAATCGGCTGGTTTTCTTCCCATCGCATCCCTTTAAAGAAGGGATATGACCAACGTCCACGGCGTTAGCCGCCTTGGACATTGGATCGATGACACCGCGCAGCGAGGTATGGAAGTGACCTGGCTGCGCTGCTGGGATATTCTGTGGCTGCGCTGCTGGTGGGTGTTTGCTACACTCTCCAGGCCAGGTTGAAGATGTGGCTATGGATCAATACCTATACATAGCATTTTTAGGGGGTTATTCACATCCATAAATCCCAGCTATGACTTGATGTGAACAGAAGGGGGATAGGGTTTTGATCCATCCCCATGTTGGAGTTCAATTCGAAAAAATATGGTGTTTCAAAACATGAATTTGGATTTGGAACATCCAGTGAATTTTGATTTGGAGTTAGATTTCCTATATGATTTGTTTCCTCAAGTCCAAATTCCTATGAATCTTGACAATCTTGACTTTAAGTTTGTCACAACATGGGGAATTCCCTAAATATTGCAATTTTCGTGTAGGGACCAGAGGCGTTTTCATGGTATGGAATGGATCAAGCCAGACATCCTGGAGAATGCTGTTACAATTTGCATAGTGAGGGTGTAGGAACTATATATATATATCATTATATATCTATATTATGTACCTGGACCTACAATCTACCAGAAATGTCTGGACAAAAGTTTGAAGGTCCAGGTATACAGATGTTCGTACACATACTTGTAACACTTGTATGATACAGATATATCATGTAAGATGTATAGTCCCAATTTTCAGGATGTTCCACCATCCCGGAGGGATATCAACTCGCCCACGAGGCCAAGATGAACAATCGCTTGGCCCGTGACTTGGGCTCCACCGCACGAGCTGCCGCGTTTTGCAACCTCACCGTGATGACTTGGGGCCTGCCCATGTGCCTCGTTTTAGCTCCTCGGCTTGGATCCCGAGATGCAGCTGCAAGAGAGTGTGGTTCGTTCAAATAGACCTCGATCTATAATTCTATATATATATATATGTAAACAGATAACTATATACATAATTAACCATAATTACACACAAGATGCAGCGTTCACATGCCTTGGGCCCCATTGCACTAGCTAGGATGATATTTCCCAACCATATTTGTTGATCTTCGAGTTTGAATTCACCTGGAACCAATTCGAATTCGGAACCAATTCTAGCTTGCTGTGAGCAGGAAGATTGAGAGTAGGAACCCAAGAGTTTGAGTTCTTTTCAGGGACTGTTCAGGGGAAAAACTGGACAGCGTGTTGCTTTTGGTAACTCAGCCGGTTTTTTTGCGATGGTTCCCCAAAAATCCACAAACATGAGCCTAGCAGGCAACACATATCTATAACTGTGATATGGATTTAATGTTCCTACTACAGTAGTTGGCTGGGCGCGCGCAGAAGGCCGCGTCACGAAACAGTGTTTTTGCTAGTTCACTGCACTGGCGCCACAGCGAGAGCGCACTTTTTCCTTGTTTTTTTTTGTTTCGCCTCAGTGAAACCTCTTTTTTTGTCTTTTTTTGTTGTTTTTTTGGCGTGGTGTTGGTTGGGGGGTGGGGGTTGGGGGGGGTGGGGGGGTGTAATAACGTTCTTTGGACTTGAACACATCTGGGATGGTACGTCATGAGATCTTTTCTTGGAATTCAACACATCTGGGATGGTACTTCATGAGATCTTTTCTTGGAATTCAACACATCTGGGATGGTACGTCATGAGATCTTTTCTTGGAATTCAACACATCTGGGATGGTACGTCATGAGATCTTTTCTTGGAATTCAACACATCTGGGATGGTACGTCATGAGATCTTTTCTTGGAATTCAACACATCTGGGATGGTACGTCATGAGATCTCCTCTTGGAATTCAACACATCTGGGATGGTACGTCATGAGATCTTTGCTTGGAATTCAACACATCTGGGATGGTACGTCGTGAGATCTTTTCTTGGAAATCAAGACATCTGGGATGGTACGTCATGAGATCTTTTCTTGGAATTCAACACATCTGGGATGGTACGTCATGAGATCTTTTCTTGGAATTCAACACATCTGGGATGGTACGTCATGAGATCTTTTCTTGGTATTCAACACATCTGGGATGGTACGTCATGAGATCTTTTCTTGGAATTCAACACATCTGGGAGGGTACGTCATGAGATCTTTTCTTGGAATTCAACACATCTGGGATGGTACGTCATGAGATCTTTTCTTGTAATTCAACACATCTTTTTCCTTGAATTTCCTGTTTTTTTGAAAACATAAAAAAGGAGATGACGCAACCTTGCATGAGCATGTGTCTTTAGAAGATCTATGATCCTTTTTCCTCTGTAAAATGGAGGGGGTCAAGGCTCACCGTAAAACGTTTTCTTTATGGTTTTGGAACCGTCCAGCCAGGTGATTTTATAGAAAACAGTGTTTTTTTGTGATTTTATAGCCAAGCTCCATGTTTCTGCTATCCTGGTAGGGGGGGTCAAGGCATCTCATTTTATAGAGGCCAAATGGTGGGTGATGGTTTTTGTTTTTCACTTTTTACATGTCAAGAAAAGGTGGGGAAGGCCATACCAAAAAACCTGCCGGTGACCCAATCTCCCAAGATATCTCTATCACAGATTCTTTGCATCAGCCATTTTGGCTGAGGAACCAGCATGAAGCGGTTTGTCGGTTGGTCACAGATTTGAACATGAAGCGGCTTGCCTGCAGACATCAATCAGTGTTCGGTGGCTCAACATGCCAAGGCGCAGGTAGGTGCAGCCACCATGTAAAAATAGCTGAAAGCTGCCTTGCTTGGCAGGTTGGCACAGGAGGTCAGCTCAGGATGCGGCAAGAATGTGGAAGCAGATGGCTTGGCAAAGACAGGCAGAATGGCTAAGTAGTTCTAACTAGTTCCCTGGAGCATCTTGGGGCACAGCAAAGCACAGCCACCACAGGAGCCAATGCTGCACCTCAATAAAATAGGGGTTGGCACAGGAGGTCAGCTCAGGATGCGGCAAGAATGTGGAAGAAGATGGCTTGGTAAAGACGGGCAGAATGGCTAAGTAGCTCTATAACTAGCCCCCTGGGGCATCTTGGGGCACAGCAAAGCAAAGCCACCACAGGAGCCAGGAACCAAAAAATAGTTGAAGGCTGCCTTGCTTGGCAGGTTGGCACAGGAGGTCAGCTCAGGATGCGGCGAGAATGTGGAAGAAGATGACTTGGCAAAGACAGGCAGAATGGCTAAGTAGCTCCAACTAGCTCCCTGGAGCATCTTGGGGCACAGCAAAGCACAGCCACCACAGGAGCCACTGCTGCACCTCTAGAAAATGGGGCTCCCTGACTTCCTTCAGGAACCAAAAAATAGTTGAGGGCTGCCTTGCTTGGCAGGTTGGCACAGGAGGTCAGCGGCAAGAATGTGGAAGAAGATGGCTTGGCAAAGGCAGGACAGACTTGCTACGTAGCTCTAACTCCCTGGAGCATCTTGAGGCACAGCAAAGCACAGCCACCACAGGAGACAATGATGCACCTCTAGAAAATGGGGCTCCCTGACCCCCTTCAGGAACCAAAAAATAGTTGAAGGCTGCCTTGCTTGGCAGGTTGGCACAAAAGGTCAGCTCAGGATAATAAAATAGGGCTCCCTGACCCCCTTCAGGAACCAAAAACTAGTTGAAGGTTGCTTTGCTTGGCAGGTTGGCACAGGAGGTCAGCTCAGGATGGGGCGAGAATGTGGAAGAAGATGACTTGGCAAAGACAGGCAGAATGGCTAAGTAGCTCTAACTAGCTTCCTGGAGCATCTTGGGGCACAGCAAAGCACAGCCACCACAGGAGCCACTGCTGCACCTCTAGAAAATGGGGCTCCCTGACCCCCTTCAGGAACCAAAAAATAGTTGAAGGCTGCTTTGCTTGGCAGGTTGGCACAGGAGGTCAGCTCAGGATGCGGCAGGAATGTGGAAGAAGATGGCTTGGCAAAGGCAGGAAGAATGGCTAAGTAGCTCTAACTAGCTCCCTGGAGCATCTTGGGGCACAGCAAAGCACAGCCACCACAGGAGACAATGATGCACCTCTAGAAAATGGGACTCCCTGACCCCCTTCAGGAACCAAAAAATAGTTGAAGGCTGCCTTGCTTGGCAGGTTGGCACAGGAGGTCAGCTCAGGATAATAAAATACAGGCTCCCTGACCCCATTCAAGAACCAAAAACTAGTTGAAGGTAGTTTTGCTTGGCAGGTTGGCACAGGAGGTCAGCTCAGGATGCGGCAAGAATGTGGAAGAAGATGACTTGGCAAAGACAGGCAGAATGGCTAAGTAGCTCTAACTAGCTCCCTGGAGCATCTTGTGGCACGGCAAAGCGCAGCCACCACGGGGCCCCTTGACCCCCTTCAGGGACCAAAAAATAGTTGAAGGCTGCCTTGCTTGGCACAGGGCACAGGAGTTCAGCTCAGGATGCGGCAGGAATGTGGAAGAAGATGACTTGGCAAAGACAGGCAGAATGGCTAAGTAGCTCTAACTAGCTCCCTGGAGCATCTTGGGGCACAGCAAAGCACAGCCACCACAGGAGACAATGATGCACCTCTAGAAAATGGGGCTTCCTGACCCCCTTCAGGAACCAACAAATAGTTGAAGGCTGCCTTGCTTGGCAGGTTGGCACAGGAGGTCAGCTCAGGATGCGGCAAGAATGTGGAAGAAGATGGCTTGGCAAAGGCAGGACAGACTGGCTAAGTACTCTAACTAGCTCCCTGGAGCATCTTGGGGCACAGCAAAGCACAGCCACCACAGGAGCCAAGGCTGCACCTCTAGAAAATGGGGCTCCCTGACCCCCTTCAGGAACCAAAAAATAGTTGAAGGCCGCCTTGCTTGGCAGGTTGGCACAGGAGGTCAGCTCAGCATGCGGCAAGAATGTGGAAGAAGATGGCTTGGCAAAGGCAGGACAGACAGGCTAAGTAGCTCTAACTAGCTCCCTGGGGCATCTTGGGGCACAGCAAAGCACAGCCACCACAGGAGCCAAGGCTGCACCTCTGGAAAATGGGGCTCCCTGACCCCCTTCAGGAACCAAAAAATAGTTGAAGGCTGCCTTGCTTGGCAGGTTGGCACAGGAGGTCAGCTCAGCATGCGGCAAGAAGGAACAGACTGGCTAAGTAGCTCTAACTAGCTCCCTGGAGCATCTTGGGGTACAGCAAAGCACAGCCACCACAGGAGCCAAGGCTGCACCTCTGGAAAATGGGGCTCCCTGACCCCCTTCAGGAACCAAAAAAATAGTTGAAGGCTGCCTTGCTTGGCAAGTTGGCACAGGAGGTCAGCTCAGCATGCGGCAAGAATGTGGAAGAAGATGGCTTGGCAAAGGCAGGACAGAATGGCTAAGATGGCTTGGCAAAGGCAGGACAGACTGGCTAAGTAGCTCTAACTAGCTCCCTGGAGCATCTTGGGGCACAGCAAAGCACAGCCACCACAGGAGCCAAGGCTGCACCTCTAGAAAATGGGGCTCCCTGACCCCCTTCAGGAACCAAAAAATAGTTGAAGGCTGCCTTGCTTGGCAGGTTGGCACAGAAGATGGCTTGGCAAAGGCAGGACAGACTGGCTAAGTAGCTCTAACTAGCTCCCTGGAGCATCTTGGGGCACAGCAAAGCACAGCCACACAGGAGCCAAGGCTGCACCTCTGGAAAATGGGGCTCCCTGACCCCCTTCAGGAAACCAAAAAATAGTTGAAGGCTGCCTTGCTTGGCAAGTTGGCACAGGAGGTCAGCTCAGCATGCGCAAAAGGACAGACAGGCTAAGTAGCTCTCGCTAGCTCCCTGGAGCATCTTGGGGCACACAAAGCACAGCCACCACAGGAGCCAAGGCTGCACCTCTGGAAAATGGGCTCCCTGACCCCCTTCAGGAACCAAAAAATAGTTGAAGGCTGCCTTGCTTGGCAGGTTGGCACAGGAGGTCAGCTCAGCGCGGCAAGAATGTGG